TTGGCTCCTATTTATACTCGGTTCAACCATACATTTTCATCATTTCAATCATTCACATCAGTAAAAAATTTATTTAATGTATGTACTTGTATGTACTACACTATTGTACATACAGTCTTAACAACAACGTTAATCGTCCGTACTATTGACGTCATCGAACGAACGCCTTCGAAACTTTCTGATTGGCTGGTTGAATCTGATATATTGCTCTTTATATAAACATATAATCTTACTAATTATTTGTATACATGAATTCTAGATACTTTACAGTACAAATTTTTGAGGAGAATTCAAAATAATTTGAGACCACACCTTGCTTAACATCCAATTCCAAGCCAAGCCAAGCCGAGCCAAGCTGAGCCAGTATGCGTAGATTTATAAGCGCTTTTATATTAAAATTTTGCCCGCTTTATATACCAATATCCTCAATATCGATATCAAAGAAATAACGCGAGCGAGTTTAAAAAATATTTCATTTCCTCTAACGATTTCGTAACAAATTCTCGATTCTATTTTAAAATTTTTTTTGATGTTTTTAATCAGTCAGGTCACAATCATCATCATCGATATCGCAATGAAATTAAATTGAAAATTTAATGAAAATAAAAGTAACTTAAAATATTTCATTTAATGATACTATCATGTTCAAAAAGATACTGGTTGATACTTTACAATCAATTAATTCAGCTCAGTTACTTACTTATCTAATATACAATTGGCTCAGCTCAGTCCCTAACTTATCTATATTCAATTGGTTTAACTCAGTCTTTAACTTACTTATGTTCAGATGGCTCAAGTCAGTCCTTAACGTACCTATGTTCAATTAACTCAGCTCATTTTCTAACTTACCTATGTTCAATTGGCTCAGCTCAGTCCCTAACTTACCCATATTCAATTGGCTCAGCTCAGTTTCTCACACACCTATATTCAATTAGCTCAGCTCAGACTCTAACTTACCTATATTCAATAGGCTCAGTGCAGTCTCTTTCTTATATTCAATTGGCTCAGCTCAGTTTCTCACACACCTATATTCAATTAGCTCAGCTCAGACTCTAACTTACCTATGGCTCAGTCCGGTCTCTTACTTATATTCAATTGTCTCAGCTCAGTTTCTCATTCACCTATATTCAATTGGCTCAGCTCAGACTATAACTTACCTATATTCAATTGGCTCAGTGCAGACTCTTACTTATATTCAATTGTCTCAGTTCAGACTCTTACTTACCTATGTTTAATTGGCTCAGCTTAGTTTTTCACTCACCTATATTCAATTGGTTTAGCTCAATTCTTTATCTATTTTTATTTAATTGACTTAGCTCTGCTCCCAACTTACCTACGTTCAATTGGCCCAGCTCAGTTCCTAACTTACCTATATTGTTTAACCATCCCTCACTAAAAGATGCAGCGAGTGTAAAAAATGTAAATGTAAATTAAAATGAAATATGAATACTAATATATAATAATTACTATTTATTAGTATTAAATAAACTAATTTATATATATTAATATTAAAAATATTCAATCTCGTTAAACTTTTATTGATTTTTTTAATTAAATAAATGGCGTAAATAATTCAAAATTGTTATTTTAGAAAACTATTTTCGCTATGTCTAACACATATTTTACATTCTGGTGCTCATTGAAAGGAGATTGCTGAAGTCAAACGTTGGCTTACTGCAGTGGCTTACCGAGGCTCGTAGAACTTATGTGGTAGTAGTCTTTTGCACATATGATGCCATGGATATATATATCCATGTAAAATACTTTAAATAAATCAACAGAGTCATTAGTTCAATTTTTGTTTCCTAGAATGCGGCGCTCATAATAGTGTTTAAAGCTGGTAATTTGTCACTGGATTCGTTGAGTATCTTCCGAACATGAAAATGTAAAACTTGTAGATGAAATTCCGACAATTTTTATTCATATCACCTTGAACCTTGCGAATAGGTTACATATTGCTGTGAACCTCCAGTATAGTTCGATTTCAGTTTGAAGAGTATTTTTTATAATGGTCTCATAAAGTTTGTATATGCGCCGTGTATTGTTAGCACGTTACTGATTTAAGATTGTTTGTATGTTTGTTTTTATGTTTGTATGTTTGTTTGTAGGTTTGTTTGTTTATATATATATATATATATATATATATATATGTTTGTTTGTTTGTTTGCATGTTTGTTTGTATGTATGTTTGTTTGTTTGTTTGTATGTATGTTTGTATGTGTGACTGTATGTGTTCGTTTGTTTGTATGTATGTTTGCTTGTACGCATGATTGTATTTTCAATATACACGTGCTAATATTTTTGTCTCTTACATTCTTTCTCTTGCTTTTTTTTATGGGTTTCTCTCTCTCTTTCTCTTTCTCTCTCTCTCTCTCTCTTTCTTCCCTTCTGGTATGTTGTTGTTGCTGTCGCGTTGATGTTGTATAACTTTTTCAGAAATATTACAGTCCGATGCATCAGTATTGGAAATAATCGAATTTCCGCCAAACAAATAGGGCACTACGAATATGACGCCATTAATTCAGACCAATCACAGGCCTCCATTTTAAATATGACGTAATTGAATCCGACCAATCATGAGCCTCGATTTTAATAATGACAAAACTAAATTTAATATATCGCTTGCTTCATTTTTTGAATATGACGTATTTGAATCCAGCCAATTACGGGCTTCGATTTTTTGAATTAGACCCAACGAATTTTGACCAATCACATGATTTCAAATTGAACTAGTCTTTTTTTAAGGAATATAACTTATTAATATTATTATTTCTTGATTTTTATAGATAATACAAGTTTTGGCTTTGGCATTTACAATAGAGCACTAATAATAATAATAATAATAATAAAAACAATACCAACAATAATAATATATATATTCATAATAGTATATATATTCATAATAATATATATATTCATAATAGTATATATATATTCATAATAGTATAATGTCCTGGTTATGACATTAAACTGACTCTCACTGCCTTGTGAGTGATGTTGGATCATCAAAGGCTAGGCCCACCGCTTATAACTGTGGTTGCGTAAGGAAGGGCGTCCTGCGTAAAAATTAGCCAAATAAATTACTTATGATGGAATGGCGTCGAGGGGTATTTCGGTTTCATCATAGGTAGCCAAACGGCAACCCCCGATCTCGGGAAAAATGTCGTCTAAACGTTTGTTGTTGTTGTTGTTGTTGTTGTATATTCATAATAGCATAATGGAATAATAATTTTATTATTATTATTTTTATGTACAATTTGTCGACATTCGTTTGTTTGTCTTTATATTAGTACAATTGTAAAAATGACCGTGTCAATAGCGGCGACAACATTAAAACAAATAATAATAATAATAATCATAATAATAATAATAATCATAATAATTATAGTGTGAAAAATTATAAGGAAAAATTATTGTTCATAGTATAATTATTTTATCTATTTTTCACTCTTCATAATCGATCATTCTGCCTTTGGTCTTTTTATTTTTGTTATTATTATTATTGTTATTATTATTATTATTATCTTCATAATTATTATTATCCCTATCGCTACAGGTACATTTACCCGTCTTATTGCTAACGAAATCTGACGACGATGATGATGATGTTGGTGTCTGTGATGAAACTATCTCAACATTAGCTTCTGTAGTAGTAGTAGTAGTAGTAGTAGTAGAGTAGCGGCAGCAGCAGCAGTAGTTGTTTCTGTGGTAATAGTAGCAGCATCATCTGTGGTAGTGGAAGCAAGGTTAGTAGCAGTGGTGTCGCTATTTAAAAGTTTCTGCCCGTTTAGCAAGTTGTTTGTATTTATTTTACTGCTACTACTAATACTACTTGAGTTATTATTATTTGTGTTGTTATTATTATTATTATGGTTGTTGTTGTTGTTGCTGCTGTTGCTGCTAGTGGTATGCTGAGGCGGTTGATGTATATGCAAAAGTTGGCTTGAATTAAAATTCGGAGGGTCGCCATTGAAAAACGATCTGATTGGCCAAGAAGCGTGACCGAAACCAGCCAATAGGGATTGAGGATTTTGAAAAAAGGGCATTGACTGACTCATGACTGGTTGTTTGTGTTTGACGCTATTTGTTGAACTGTTTTTCTGGGTTTTTGCACCATCGATGCTGTCATCGTCGTCGTTGTTGTCATCGTCGTCGTTGTTCTCGTCGTCGTTGTTGTTGTTGAAATCGAGTCTACTTTTCAACGGGTGATATATTGATGAGTGCAAAATATTTTTATCTTTGGTGGAGTCATTTTTTTTGTCATCATCATCTTCTTCCTCCTCCTCTCCCTCATCATTATCCTCATCATTCTTATCGTTGATATGTTGTTTGCCGTTGTTCCTGTCAAAACCGTCTTTATAACTCCGATTAACACTAACGCCATGATCGTCATCATTATTATCACCGCCACCACCACCACCACCACCACCACCACCATCATCATCGTCGTCGTCTTCCTGGTACCTTTTCAACGCAAACCCTCTCCCTCTCGTCATCATTCTCTCTCCCAAGTATCCCCTCACTTTTTTATCACTCTCGCAACGCCGTCTCTCACTGGAACTACTTCGGTTTAGAGAGGGATTTTTTAAACTTTCGTTTAACCCCCTTTCGCCAGGGGTGTTCGCCGATCGTCTCGGTCTTTTTTTCACCGGAATATCGTCATTGTCGGTCGAACCGTTTCCGTTACGATTCTGTGTCGGTATATTTTCATTTACGTTTCTTTCGCAAGGTGTTCGGTTAGATTTTTTTTCAGTAGAATGTCTTCTATCGTAGCTTTCTGAGCCGATTTTTTGATTAAAATATTTATAAAGTGGTGCGCTTTCGACAGATAGTGCTGCTGTCGTTGGTGTGGCTACTGCAGTAGCGAGAGAAGTAACAGAAAAAGCTAATTTAGCGGCTGAGTTTAAATCTGAAAAGTTTTTTTCAGCTGGAGTGGATGTTTTAACCTCTAGAGTGAAATTAGTTTTTTCCTCGTCGTGTCGGTTGGTGGCAGTATGTTTGCAGACTTTGTGGTGGTTCTCCCAATCTTTGTGCTGGCAAAAAGGGCCGCAGTATCGAGCCCTGTTGCAGCCGCTACAAGTTTCGCTGGCCGCGCGACCGCAGTTCCAGCAGTTCTGTGTGGCGTGGCGTGGCGTGGTGTGGTGTGGCGTAGCGTGGTGCGTATGATTTGAATTTCAGTGGTCATGAGTATGATGAAGATGCAATATCAAATGTACACCGACACACACAAACCTCATTTGATCGTTCCTGCTTATTCAACGTCTCCATGACCTCCATTTTAACTTGAGCTTTGACCTCTTCCACCAATCTCTCCATCTTCATTCTTTCACTGGCCACAACTAAGGAAGCTTTGGTTTCAGCTGCTGCTACCGCTCGGTGTAGTTCTAACATAGCTTGCTGTTTTACTTCGTTTA